TTCTCCCCTCCCCACCTTCCTTCTCCTGCATTAATACAAACAACTTCCTCAGCATCTTCATTGAACCACACCTCAAGTCCCAGTAAATCATCGATTCCAAGATATTTGATCCAAGAGAACACCCCATCACAAAAATTCTTTGCGCATCCACTATCGTCCCTTCATCCACACTAGAGTAAAATTTCAAAGCATCTTAAAGACTACATAATCCTCAACCCCAACTTTCGCGGGGTCCCAAACCATGCACCAACCTCCCATCTCAGGCATTCAAAATTCGTGACACACGCGGATACAACACTAACCACAACGATCTCATCCACTGTCACCCCACTCGCCTTCATCTCCACAAACAAAACCAACGCCTCCTCACACATCTCATTCTGCTCATAACAAGAAACCATCGCACTCCACGACACCATGTCCATATCCCTCCCTCGAACCTCATCAAAAATCCGCCGCGCCTTCTCCACACACCCCTTCCTTCCAAAGAGCACAATCATGGAATTCGAAGCAATGGTGTTCCTCTCCGGCATTCCCCTATACACACGTTCCGCCTCCTCCACATTTCCCGCCTGAACATACCCCGCCAAAACAGTATTCCAAGAGACCACATCCCACCACAGACTCCTTCCTCAAACACCTGGCGCGCACTGGACATGCTCCCACATATAGCATACAAGTTGATCAGCGTGTTCCGGACGTACACATCTTGATGAAAACCAAACCTCACAACATGTGCGTGCAGCTCCTTTCCCTCGAATTCGGACACCCGGGCAGCGCAGCATTGAAGGAGAATTGGGTAGGTGTAGTTATCGGGTTTTGCGTGTTTCGCAAGGAAGAGCTTGTAGAGTGTGAGGGCTTGGTGGGGGTTGTTTTGGAGTTCGAAGTGGGCGCGCATGATGGTGTTCCATGTGAAGGCGTTGGGGTTGTGAAGATGGTTGAAGATTCGGAGAGAATAGTCGAAGGGAACGCGAGCGGAGCGAGTAGAGAAGTTTATGAGTCTGCTTGCGGCGTAGGGGTCTGAGATGAGGCCGGTGAGAATCGTTTGTGAGAGAATCTCTCTGAAGTGCCTCGGCCATTGGCACCGCTGCAATGCTGCGTCTAACGTCCACACCTTCATGCTTCGTCTCCTGCTTCATACTTCAACTCACGCATCTTCATTTTCTGCATAACTTCATGAGTATGTTGTTTTCACAATAAATAATTAAATCATTTTTTTCATAATTTTAAATGTAGTATATTAAGCCAAAAAATTATAAATTATTCACAATTTATTACTAACATTGAGATTTAATTAAATTTAATATTTTGTTATCATCAAAACTATTTTGTTTTATGTCTGAAAAATGGATAAATTTTTATTTGTCTTCATATTTCTTATGGATAGTGTCCCTCATGTAAAACATTATATATATATATTATATATATATATATATATATTATTTATTTATTTAGGACACCGATTGTCACTAGTATGCTCATTTGATATTGTTATTAGCAATGGAAGAATGAGAATCATGTATTAAATAAAGGTGAACATGTGTTTAAATAAAAGCAGTTGAAAAGAGAAAGAAAAAAAATTGAAATGAAAGGTAGATTTGTTTAATTAAAGAAAATATATAAGCGAAAATGTTATGTTAAACTTTACATTGATCTGATCGAAACCACTACCATTCTTCAGTAGTATCATACATTACAACAGAAACTTTGATTTCAATTTCCTACCCCTAATTGGTGATAGATTAAAATAGAAATATACGGTACCATTATCGACGCCTGACCTTAATTTATAAACCCTAAGACAATAACCTGTTTCAATTTTTATCACCAATATTATCTACACTTACACGACTTTTACACTATATTCCTTTTTTATAAACACTTAATTTATTTTACTTACATTTCTTTTACACCCGACAAACAAACATCACATTCGTTACTAGCAAATTAATATTTAATTTATTTATGTTCAATTTCAAATAAAGAAAATTAATATTATTTTAAAATAAAAGTGAATAAAAGTATTAATTATTTTAATATATATATATATATATATATATAAATATAAAGTGTGACACACATTCAATTCATATTTCTTTCTTACATCATGGTATTATGAGACATCACCTTTTTATTTTTGATGTCGTGTGTTTTTTTTTTTTTTGCATCGTCTCATGATTCAAGGTTCTTTCTTATGTTGTTGCTCTCAATTATTGTCACGCCTTCCTTCCACCAACAACCTGCTTTAACATGGTTATTTCTTTCCTTTTCCAACTCGCATGTTGTCCCTCCTCTTTCCACAACCGTAAGTCACCTTTCCCTTCTCGCTCGCTTATTATCCCTAGGGCCCAGCAACTACATGCCGCCATTTGTCAGCCTAGTCGTCGCCTCTTCTTTCTTTCATACATTTGTGTCTCACAATTGACATCATGTCTTTAACCATCTCTGATTTTTGCTTCTCCTCCTTAGGTAAACTTGAATTTCAGCTAGCATTCACTATCACTAATATAAACAATAACAAGTAATTTATGTTATACATGGAAAAGGACTATTATGCTATGTGGGTTGAACTTTTTGAAACTCAGGCTTAGACTACTAGAGTTCTTCACTATATCGTGGCATAACCTAAGAAGGAACATTTGGCTCCAACCGATGCTAATAATCATGAACAATGGACCACTCTTGATTCTACTATACTTTAGTGGATCTACTCTACCATATCTTTTGATCTCCTTTCCATTGTCATGGAGAAAGGCTCCACGACTATGGCTACTTGGAAGCGCTTAGTTGCCATTTTTCAA